ATGGAGCCGGGCTGGCCTTGTGGACCGCCCTGAGCCTGCTGCAGGTGAGCGGGCGGAGGCGAGGTCGCGGGGCCCCGCGTCCCGTCCCGGCCGAGAACCGAACTCCCGCCGCGCTGTCCGGTCTCCTGGGTTATGTTTTGGAGAGAGAGGTGGCCGAGTTTCTTTCTCTCCCTTGGGGAGAAAGATCCTCTTCTGAGCCCCCAGCCGGACTGTCAAAGGCATAAAAAAAAGCCCCCTTCGTTCACCTGCTGCCCTGGGGAAAGGGCAGCGGGGAGAGGTTGCCACCCCCCGCCCCCCGGCCTTTCCTCTGCGCGCTGGGCAGGGGGGCGGGCTGAGGCTGGGGGCGAGCTGAGCGGAGGCGTCGCGGGGAGCTTGCCGCGGCCCTGGCCCTGCGCCGTCCAGGCTGCGGGCGTCAGCTGCCGTCTCTGGTTCCTTTGCAGGCCGGACTAGGCGAGCCCGCGAGATGCAACTTCACCGTGACGGCGTCCCGCGTCTCCAGCCGGGCCGCCTCTCTCCAGTGGAGAACTGTGGGGCCGCCCTGCAACTTCAGCCTCGTCTATAACAACGACACAGCTGGGTTTGCGAGGTGCCACCCCGTGAGGATAGACAACGCCACCTATGAGTGTAACCCCAAGGATTTACAAGCGGGGACCAACTATACCTTCAGGATTGTGCCTCTGGATGGGGAAGAGAGAACTGTGGCCTTGCAAACAGGTAAAGGGGTGACAGGTGCCATGGGATGGCCAGGCCGCTCCAGGCTGAGCCCTGCCTTATCAAGCTGGTGTTTCATTTGAGTTCCAGGCATACAAAAAGTAAAGGTAAAAAGGCCGGTGAAGATAAATCTCTTCAGGTCTGGCCAGAAGCAGCTTGGTTGAGTTCCAGATACTCCCTTAGCGCTGAACACAGCGGATTAGCCGCTTCTAGGGGGAAATAAAGCAAAGAGACACTGTGTGGGCTGCGGAGGGGATTTGGTAAAGTAATGTGGTTTGAGCTTCCAATCCATTAAATTGTCAAGCCCTGGAATAATTTTAAGTAAATGTTTTTAGAATAAATAATGGAAGTGCAATGATTAGGAATATGCCTTTTCTGAACTTAGTTTTCCTTTTGGAACCAGGATATAAAATCTTTAGGAGTAGAAGAGAACCATTCATAGGAGAAAATTTAAAAAGTCCCTTGAAATGAGGGGAAGAAAATTATTTTGTATCATGTGAGTAACTAAAACAGCGCCTTATCAGAGAATGTCCTTTGGTTACTCTGCACCTCAAGTCAGTTATTTTCTTTACACGTTTGGTAAACCCTTCCATGCATATACGCATGCTAAGTTTGTCTTTCCTGCCTCAGTTTTCTTATCTGTAAAATGAGCGTGGTAGACTTGATCATTTAGGTCCAGGTTCTTACCAAGTGCCAACCACTTAGGTAGGGACTCTCATGCATGTTACCTCATTGATCCCCATGCCACCCCCAGATGTGTTCTAAATTCTCTGATGACTTTGATGTTTTAAGATGTCATTAGTCTTCCTTTTAACATTATCTTTATTTGTTGCAATAATGAAGACCTACTTTCATCTAGAAAGTCAAATTTAACTGAAAAATTACAGAAAATTTTAGAAATGTGTGGTCCTTACTATTCTTTCAAATGCAACCTGAATAAAGATCACTGCTTCAGCCACAGTACTTTCAAGAGGTGTGAGAACTTTCTGTTCTCAGGATCAGGAAATGGAAGTGGGTTCATGAAGTGAGTCAATCAAATATTAATTCTCTTATGTTTTCAAAGAAAATTTTAAGTATGCCCATTTACATCACTTGACTTACTTCAGATGAAACTTTTAGATAATTTCTGAGACTTGCAAGAACTTAAATTGAAAAGAGACACCACTTGTTAGACATTTAGTTATATTTTTACATGGAGTCCGAGAGACTGAAATCAACCACGTAATTAGAACATTTTACCAAAGTTTAAGCAGCTGGGTTTTTAGTAATAAAGTTGTTGGTTTCTTGATATGTGAATATAGCTTTCTGATCACTCAGACTGCTAAGACATACTGTGAAATTTATGGCAGCTTTCAGATGTGTTCATTACATTTGATAAGGGGTCTGTGTTGCCTGGAACACATGATTTTTAAAAACAGGTGAGCCTTCAGAAGCTTATGGTAGAAAGGATGAAGGCATTCATACGCCAGAATAGTTATTTAATCCATAGGTTTTACTTTTTGAAAACATACACATACAAAAAACATTGATGGAAAAGGACTTTGTGTGGGTGTTACTAGTTAGAATGCCCTTTGAGTTTAATTATGAAGGTAGATGTTTCAAGTCCAGAGACATTTGTGAAATGTAAGAAATATTTGCGTTTTATTAACTGTTGAGTTTTTTTTAAAAAAGATTTCATCGGCATTCACAATGAGTTGGCCTCCAGGTTCTCATCATTTTTCTTAAAGAGTCACTTTTACAGTACCACAGATACACGTTACACTGCAAATTTTACTAGCTCCGTGATAAATGTGAAGAGTGAAACTTGCAGGTGATGTTTGTAAAATGATAATTTTTTCACACTTATGTGTATGATGGTATAACCCTTCTTAGGATTCTCTACATTTTACAAATAATTTTATTTAAGTAAACTTTTTTTAAACTTAAGATTTAAAATCATTTTTCAGGAAGGATTATTTTGGTTGGTTGTTGATTTTTTGTTAATAGTACCTTCTATATTTTAAGGAAATGTGTGGATTTTTTTTTTTTTTAAGAGAAAGAACCAGTATTCCTTTATATTAATTGCTAAGCTACAGAGATGAGATCTACAAATTATATTTTCGTGTATTAAAACAGGACCAACTAGTGGTATAATATTAACTTTGAGATATAATTTCAAACAGAAAAGTCATTCAAAGTGTATTGTGCTTTTTTTATGCCAATTTGCCTGTCTTGTTGGTCTGGAATAAAACAGAGTGAGAACAAGACATGATCTGGCTTGAGATAGAGCAATTGCTTAGATTATCTCTCCAAGTGTGATTTGTCTGATTGTTTTTCCTAATACATTTTCTAAAACAACTAGTTATTTTGATGTCATGTAGACATGACCTTAAAGATCAAAATTTTAACTAAATGGGAACTATTTCAACAACAACCAATTTTCACCCCAGCTTTTAAATCTGAATTGGAAAACATATGTATTCAAATTCAGTTCATCAACCATTTACTGAGCATGGATACTGCAGTGAAAGACGCCAGTTAGCAGTTGGTGAGTTTATAAAGATGACAAACAATACATGGTCCCTGCCCTTGCAGTCCTGTGCAGAGGTGAGAGAAGGTCATGATGAAGGCGGTGACAGAACTTTACCACATCTTCCCTGTGTGAAGACCTTGACCTGCCTCCTATATGTCATTCTTTCATAACCATAGAGAAGACATGGGACAGTTCTCAGGTTTCTTTGACTACTAAATCATCCATGCAACAACCATAATAAATTGAAAGCCAAATTATTTAGTTGTGACTAAAAATAATTTGAAAGAATTGTTGAGTTGTGGTTTCATCAGAAATAAGGTATGAAGGTAGCAGATATTGAAGAACTCAGTACTTTTGCAATACTGTGTCCTCAGTTTAGAGCAGAAGCTGAGAACTGGTAGCCCCTAAGGGTGTGTAAGTGTCTAAATAATAGATATGTTTTATTTGGGTCACGCCAGGGTGGTGAAGAATTTAGTTTCACCAGCATTAAAAAATGGAAAATTTACATAAAAACCAGACTTAGGGATTCTCTAAAAATATTGGAAGATTTGGTAAAACTGGGCCACCAGCATGCCTAGAACTCTCTAGAACTGACTTGTGGTTTCTCTCCTTTTAGATACCAATTCATTTGACCACTTCATATTTCCTTACTTGATTATATCCCAAGGACATTTGAGTTTGTTTAAATTAAACTTTTTAGTCTTCATTTAGACCTTTTGGGGGGGCTTTTAGCTTTTTATCAATAAGAAGTAGTTCTTTAGCACCTAAAATGGCATCTAGTACATGGTACATGTTCAATAAATATTGATTAAATGGATGGGTAGATGAATGAATGAATGAACAGATGAATAATTGGATCTATGCATGAATTGATAGATAGATGGACAGACAAGTAAATATGAATGAAACAAATGAATATGTTAGTGGGAAAATGTACATATACCATGACTATGGCCTATTCTCCTTGGGTTATGGGTAAATTATGGAGTCCAGGGAAGTAGTCTGGTGGTAGGAACTTCACCTATAGGAAGAATACTTAGTGGCATACACCTTCTTGTTAGTTTCACCAGCTTATTAATGAGAAAAAAATATTCAGCACTTTTAATATGGTTAATTCCTTTGTCTTTAATAAAAGAAAAATTTTAGAAGCTGTAATTACCAAGTCATCATATCAGCGATTATTTCCACTTCAAAGTGTTGCTTATGGTACTAGTTTACTAGGGCTTCCATAGCAAAACACCACAATCTGAGTGGCTTAAACAACAGAAATTTATTTTCTTACAATTCTGGAGGCTAAAAGTCCCAGATCAAGTTGTCAGCAAGTTTCTTCTGAGGTTTCTCTGATCGGCTTGCAGGTGGCCACCTTCTCACTATGTCCACGCATGGTGTCCCTCTGTCTGTGTTGTCTGCATCCTAATCTCCTCTTCTTCTCATCAGGACACCAGTCATATTGGATTGGGCTCCTCCTAAAGATCCCATTTTAACTTTATTAACCTCTTTAAAGGCCTTATCTCCTAATACAGTCACATTCTGGAGTATTGGGGGTTAGAGCTTCAACATATGAATTTTAGAGGGACACAATTCAGCCCATAACACGTGTATAGCTTTAAACATGGGCCATGATTTCTCAATAGTGTCTGTAAGCTATTTGCATCAAAATCTCTTGCAGAGCTGGTTGTAAAGGCATATTCTTGGCTTCTACCCAACATGTAATGAATTTAGAAAGAGTGGATCCTAGGGTATCTGATTTTAAAGAAATATCAAAGTGCACACAAGTTCAAAAGCTATTGAAATAGTTTTCATATTTTTCATTGGCATTAAAATTTTGGTACCATTCCTTTTTATGCATGATCAAATCTATATAGATCAAATAAATATTATACTGACCACATATTGTTTAGTTTTATCCCCAGGGCAGTCCTGTGGAGGGAGTATTGTGAAGGCACAGGTTGCCTATGAGATAAGAGTTGAATTGTGAAAGCTGCCGCCTCCATCACTTACTAGCTCAGTTGCCTTGGGCAAGTTATTGCTCTCTCCAAGCCTGTTTCCTAATCTATAACATGGGGATGACAATAAAAATACTGCCTACTTCATAGGGTCTTTTGAGGTTTTAAGTGGTTCATATGTAAATTCTGGAACAGTTTTTGTCATATACTAAGTGTGCAGTAAATTTACTATTATTACTTTCTGGTTGGAGATGAAGTTTGATATTTTTAAGAATTAACAGATCACAAATCCACACAGCTAATATGGGAAAAGCGTAGAACTTGAACCCTGCTTTACTGCATCCAACTCCAGTTCTTTCCACTACTCTGCAGAAAGGACATAATTTTTAATACGGTATTAGTTCTTTCAAATCACTATGTAATACTTTGTTATTACTTTTCAAGGAGGAAAAAATATATTACAAAATAAATGTGAGTGTGTGTGTGTGTGTGTAGCCTACACAAGGGTGGGATAATGATTAGATGTGTTATGGTGTGAAGAACTT